TAAGAGGCAAACACTCTACCTCTGTGTATAGATGGCCTTACATCGATTTGTCGTATACACTTGAGAAGGATCATCTATTTATCCTTAACTCTTATTTCACGCTAGAGGAAGACAATATTCCAGAAGGCAAGTTGCGGTTTGATTTCAAAGGCCTTCCTTGCAGGATATTACGATGTGGTGTACAGTTTTTAGAGGCATGTACCTGCAAATACGACTCTGTAGCTCACCCCATCGTAACGTCTCTTCCTCTGTAAATGAGAATATGAAATATGGATTTTTGTTTCTAAATTGACAAGTTCTAGTACATAAAGAAAATATTAGGGATTTATTAACGCAGTCCAATATTACAGATTTATCAACTTAAATTTTGACATTAATTTTTCCCATTGCACAGTTACAGTAGTTCTCAAAGATCAAAACCTTTCTGTATTATAATTCAGGTCCAAACCAAATCATACATTTCGAATTTCCATTTCCATCTAAGAGATTCACAAAACCTGACAATAACAGATATAGATGATGACTAAATACCAAATATTATTAGTATGTTTTTCCCAATTAGTCAAAACCATTACCTGTACCGATCCAAAACGAACCAATTTACCGGTTTGCTGCCACATTTCTCAGCCTTTTACTGCTAGAGATTGCAAATCTTCGAGGAAATCTTCAAGACTCAAGTCATCAGTGAGCACAATATCTGAACCACCGGTATGATCTGTTTTCTGAGTCACTGAAGGATTGAGCTTGGCAAGAAGAAACCGAGCTTGACTACCGTGCTGGTCACACCGCACAATCCGCGGCATTGGAATCCGATCAGTCACTAACTGCGCTGCGTCGATTTCTGGTGCTTCAAGAAGATTCCGGAATGTCTCGTGGTTTGAGTCTTTGTGGTATTCCAGTTTCCTCCATTGTGCGATTTTTGATCCATGGTGGATAACCACGTAGAAGTATGAATCGAATAGCAAAATCACGTCTGCAGTTACTGACCTGATATCGAGGAGGACTGGAACCGGCGGTCCGTCGAATGAATACCGGAGTAGCGTTGGTTGAATCATGATGATTGAGTTTACTACTCCTTCCCGGTTTAACATTAACCGGAAAAATCCGGTTTCATCAGGGGAATTATTGAAGACGTCAAGAAACTGTGATCTTCGTAGATAGTACATGAACTGAGGATAAAGCGAGAAGTTTGGCGTCAACCTGAAAGAAGATGGATCTTCTTGAATATAATCTCCGAACCGTGAAGCAAAACGGATTAAACCGTCATCTAACCACCTAATAACGTCTCTGGCGTAGCACTCCTCTGCTCGGTTAATTGCAAGCCGCGCCATGACTGAAGCAGCTGTTTCTTGATCAAATCCTGACGAGACTTCTGGCGATTTTCCAGCAACCCATCTTCTAGCTACCGTTGTAACCCGTTTCCTAATTCCTCCATTTCCATACCGATACCGAGTAATGAACTGAATGAAGAACGCGGAACCAGGCTGCGGTTTTCGATTCTGTTCATTGCTCACATGAAAGAAGAACGAAACACATGTCTTATTCGTGACAGTGCTCGTTTTCCATATATATGTTCCGCCTTCACCAATCTCTGTTTCGCTCACTATATCGTTCTTTTGTTTTAGCGACACAACCGGACCGAGGGCACCGCAGATTCTCATATCCTTAGTCGTCACAACTTCTAAAGACACATCAAAATACATACTCAGGTTCCCATCTGCATCGCGGCTGAATATATGCCTAAGACATTTTTTGAATTGTTCAGATTCAAATGTCTCTCCCAGTAAAAGAAATCCACCAGACATTTCAACTGCGTATCTCAGTTCCGCTGCTCCAACTTGGTCAAGAGAGCAAGCAAACACATCGAGTACAGCGGAGGTATCACAAAGCCTCTTTGCTAATTTCTTGTAAAACCCGCAAGATTTGTCGTAATAAGACACTCTACCAGTGATAATATCTCTGTGCGTTCTGATCGAATGGCTTAGATCCGAGTCCACTACGATCCCAGGGCCTCTTGTCGCAGGCCCTGATGTGAAAACCATAATCCGAGCACCCGTGTTTACAGAACATCCCTCAAGCAGTCCCAATGCTATTGAGATTGCAGCACCCGTTGATCTATGAGGCCGATGACCTGGTTTGACATTAACCATCGGAACGATTTCTTCAAAAGCAGATGTTAGGTTAAACTCACATTCTGCCAATGGAAGCAAGAAACTCTGCTTCCGAATCGCTGACATCTTTCCATGATGAAGCTGCTTCGAATATCCAAGTCCAAGAAATTGATGTATCTGATCAAATGTTCCACGCAATTAGAATATACTTTGTCAAATTCAACACAGCTAAGAAGAACAGTCTATTGATACAAACAATCACGCTGAAGCACACGAAGGTGACAAAGCCTAGAAAGAGTACTTGTCTAACGCATAAAGCTTCAGATCACAACAATCAACCAACTACACATGAACAATTCAACACTCTTATAGTCATCAAACTATATGACTAAACACTAAAAAAATCCTCAAACTGAACAAAAAAGAACTGATTCTCAAGCATTCGCATGATCCAATCGAATCAAACTAGATCAAAGTCCACCATTTGTGCAAGAAAGAAGCTAAAACGTTAAGCAAGAGTCCCAAATCTCAAAGAGTTTTTACCTGGTCTGGAGAAAGATCACGTTCGCCATGAAAAACAACAACTTTAGAGCATTCAGAGAAACCCAAATCATAAATCCTAACCATAGAATCAAAAGTAATCAAAGCCACCAAACAATTCTCAGGCAACTGCTCAATCACTAACAAAAGCTCACTTCTCACAGCCCTCAACTCATCCTCAACCATGGAAGCATCAACCACAAACACAAAAGCAGGCCCAAGCTCACCAATCACACCACCTCCACCTCCAACAGTAGAAGCAAGAGACGAAAAAGACGAATTCGAAGACATTGATCTAAGCCCTTGATTAAACCCATTACCCCAACTCGCAGAAGCAGTCGGAGTCGTCGCTGTGGAACCCGATTTACGCGGCGGAGCGTACTCAACGGCGCTGTAAGTCGGAAACAGCTCCGCCGGGAGATTGGTTTCAGTGATTCCAGAGTAAGAACGAGGGAAATGGTTTTTGTGAAAGCAAAAGGGACAAGACCAGATTCGAGATTGATAATCAACACGAGCGTAAGGGTTTAACACAGCTCCACATCGAGAACAAATCAATGGATCATAAGGAATCGTGGGAAGCTCAGAGAACTGCATCAATGGAGTATACATGATACTTAATGGAACAACTAGAGATTCGCAATCGGATTTTGTAGTTGGCCATGAGTTCCATGACCATCTCAATCCTTCGATTGCTTCTAGTTCTAAGAAATCCATAAACTAAGATCTTCGATTTCACTGATTGCGAGTTTTCAAATCCGTTTTCATGGATCTGAATGAAAAAAGTAGTGTTTGAAGATTCTCTCAGTCTCAGATCAAGTTTGTTTTGGTTTCTCAGGGAGAGTAAAGAGGTTGCGGAGGAAATAGGGTTTCGCCGGAGATATTTTGAAATTTTCCGGCCGGCGAAGAATCGAATATGAAAAACATTCTTTGATTTTTTACGCTTTTAGAGTTTTGTCGATGAGAAGTAGATTCGTTCTTCTCCGTAAAAGGCTTATTTCATTTTTAAAATACTTTCATTTAAAAGAGAAATTGCAAACAAGCCCTCAAATGGTTTTTAATTTACAAACTTACCCTCCTCTTTTCAGGAAATATATGAGAAATCAGTCATTCAACTTGTGTATTTAGAGTATTTTGTAATTTTGTTAAACAAGTTTTGGAACAATTGTAATGGGTATGAATGATTGGTATTATATACTTAGGCTCAGAATAATAACTGCGTTTTTCATTGTAGGAGAAGTGCGGTGCCGGTACGGTTCAAATAGTAACGAAATATATATACATATATATATATATATAGATATTTTAACACTATTACAACATTGGTGCGGTGTAGTTTTGTAGTACGGTATGGATATTATTCGGAGCTTTAATACAAATTTTATGTGAAAAATAATTATTTTTGGTTGTTTCACTTTTTTTGTAAGTTTATTATTTTCGATTAAGTTTAAATAGAAAAAACAATTTTTAGCTCATTTTAGCTAAATCTAGAGTAAGTGGAAAAGAGATATTTTTAATATCTTTATGAAAAAGCGTTTTACTTTAAAAATGATTCTTGCTTTTCATATTTTCGTTTCTTTTTCTTTTTACACTACCACATTACTAGTTGTAAACATATCTACATTTTGTTAAATTAAATACTAAGTCTTCAATTTGCAGATAACAACATAATTTCATAATTAAGATTTATATTAAAAACTTGTTTTTAAAAAATAGAGTTTCAAATATGAAGAACTACAATTCCATGTCTAAGAATTGAATTGCAAGAGAAAAATAATCAAACTGAATAAAATAGATCTAAAAACTAAACATAAAAAACTAAACTGAAATTTTTAGTTATAAACCAACTAACAGTAGGCATAGAAATCGACAGATGTCAGACGCAAGCTAACTAACCGTCGTTGTAGAAGCTGACATATGTTGGACTAAATAGACTAACGTCTAAAGAGAAATGGACAATATCATAACAAAAATTGGTCAAACATCATTGCTGAAGAAAGCCGGACATCTCTACTAAAAAAAATGTCTAATGAATGTTGAAAAAGTCACCTATCGATAAAGGTGCGAGACGAGAAATGTTTTCTTCCCGTGGAGTTAACACCACCTAAAAGAGAAAAAAAAAAAGAAAAAAAAAATATTGCTATTAAAATCAGTCAATTATCTTGCAATTTTTAGAGGTGAAAGGTGTATTCGTAAAGATTTGAAAAGCTCGAGGGATTTTACGCAATTCTCCCATCAGTTTTTAAGTATTAATTATACAGGCTTTGCGGCCCAAATACTTGAAGCCCAATAAGAACAGTAAAGAAGAAAATATCTTTCTTCTTCACAGAGAAACGCCGAGAAGAAACGGAGGTGAAACCGACGATTTTGTCGCCGGGAAAAAAAAAAAAACAATGTTTGGGCTGTCTTACGGCGAGATTCTACTAATCATCGGCGCCACTGCTGCTGTTGTTGGTTAGTTCTCTTCAATCATAACTTTTATTAGCTGCGATCTTTGTGTTATACTTTGCTTTAATCGCATGATTCGATTGGAAGAATCAAATGTTTCAATTGAGTGAGTTTCGATTTTTTAGGTCCCAAGGATCTTCCGATTCTCGCTAGAGCCGGAGGAAGATTATTCGGACGAGCCATTGGTTACATCAACATGGCTCGTGGTCACTTGGATGGTGTGATGAAACAACCTCATATGCAAGAGGTTCCTCTTCTCACTCAGTTCTTGAATTTTTCAATTCTTTGATTTCAAGATCATTGTTGTGCTACATTAGTCTTGAATCAATGTTTGTGAATTTGATAGGTTATATGTAAGTAGTAGTTTTCAAAATGTTTAGAAAACTGTTGTTGATGTTACTTAGTGTCTCATACTTGGTTTTAGATATCGAAAGAAGTTCAAGATTTGCGAGCACAAGTAGACGCGATTAGCCATGGTGCTAGGTTTTCTCTATTTGATTCTAGTCCTTTGACTCGAAGAGTGGATAACCAAGCTCCAGGATCTAGTTCAAGCACCACCAATGGTAACATAAACTAGTCACTAGTCATTACTTTTTTCCTGCTTGTTGTGGTTTCTTAGTTTTGGTTCTGTTGTATTGTAGGGAATGTTTCATCGGTTAATGTTGAAGCAAAGCAGAAGCCTGCAGATCATTACACAAAGGCTCAAGAATTTAGTGGCTCGTCGTCAGCTTCAGTTAACCTGCACGCTCAAGCAACATCATTTGCACGATTATCTGAGACTGTTAATGGCAAAACTCACAATCTAAGCAGCGATTCACCTGTTCTTCCCGTATCGGCTGAGATGGCAAAGTTGCTTCCTCAGCGAAAAGGTAGAAAGAATCATCATTATGAAACGTGTAATTATACATTCAATTCTGCCAAGTTCTGGAACTTATTTTTGAAACTGAAGTTTCTCCCGCTAAGAGAGTGCGTGATGTCTTATGATCTGAGATGTTTTATCCTAACTTGTGGTTGCAGAGAGTGCAAGAGGATCTGATCTAATGTTGGAGGCGGTTCTTGAAGCGGAAGTAGCATATAAGGCGAAAAGCTTTTTTGCAGAAGCCGAAAAAGAAACCCCGGCTTTAAAAGGTGAGGCGAAACACACCTCATTAGTCTACTTGGTTCTACAATTAAGATCAAAGCAAAAAACCCAAACTTAAAACTACAATATCTCATAAACGAAAACCCTTGTCTGTAATCTTGTGACTGTTGCAGGGAAGTTTTTCAGTGAGGGCAAAGGAGAAAGTTAAACTCCAGTACCATTTACACAGCGTTAGAAGAGTCATCTACACTTGGTTAAAATGGACCAAAAGCTTGATTTCGGTTTCTGCTGCGGTAACAAGTGATCTACGCTTGGTCGAATTCAGTTCATTCTGTAATCTTGTAAGTAATGCATAATGCTGCAGCTTTTATAGGTGTTAAGGAAAACTCAATCAAATCACTATAGTCTTCTACTCTACTAACTGTTTATTGTTTAACATCTTTATCATAGTCATAGAGGTTCTAAATTGGGTTTTCTTTGTGGCAGATTGATTCTGAATTAGCATGTCTCGTAAAGTATTGTTTACATTGCATGTATCATCTCAAAAGGACTCAAAGCTGACAAGTATAATCGTTAACTATAAGAAACAAAAATTAGTGATGGTTAAAGAATATACCAACCTTTAACGTATCAATATGGGTTGATCAATCACATGTCAAACTGAATGGTTAACAAATTGTTTTTTTTGGTTAACAAATTATAATCGGATAAAGATTTTCAAATAAGTACGAGATAACGCATATGAAGAAATGTTCTTCTTCCCAAACAAAAAAAATGGTAAACTGGTAATACCTCTGATATGTCATATATTTGATCATGATTTAAAACTATTTTCTAAAATATTTAACCAACTGTAGTTGAGTATTATATGTCTGTTTTTAAAAATTCAAATTGCAATATAAGAAGAAAAAAAGTTAAATTTTTATTATATTGTATAATATCATAAAATAAAAATAAGATCGAATAAAGGTGACAAAGAACCATAATTGTTGTCCAAACTTGTTGAATTGCTGCTAATAATGCCTTTGCTTCAGCTTCTAATGGCGAAATAAACTGGTTTAGTGCAAATAACCGGTAATCTTGTGACTGAAAAAACCATAAAAATTGTCGTTAACCCACGACCATATGAACCAATTGGACCGGCTAAATTTTAGAAGTCATAATATTTTTATTCTTTCTCAAACGATAATACATACGATTAAGATTGGTTACCGTAAACTCTTGATGTATTATTAGTGTTCTTTTGATTTTATTTGAATTTAAAAAATTTAAACAAATTATTATTATTGTTAAACTACATATTTTGTTTAACATGATATTGTTATTTTTTATTTTTCTATTTATCGAACTACATAATCTATAAAAAACAATATATTTTTTAGCCAATTGATTGTAGTCGAACTCGAGTAGCCTAGTGATCCGATGACCCGATAGATGATCCGGTTTAAAATCCTATTTGAGTTCAAAAACATGTTTTTGAATCTGACATGTATAATTATACCAATCACATAAGTCGTTTAATAGCAATAATACATCAATCTGAAGTCTGTTGAAATTTCTCTCTTCTTGTTTTGTGAATATTCAAAATTTTCAAGATTTAAATTTATATGTTACTAACATATTTTTTTTTCTTTTTAAACGAGGATTTACAAAAGATTTGGGAGATTTATTGTTATTGTAATGTTCTCTTTCTTTAATAGAGAAAAAAAAAAAAGAGATGAGTAACTGTATCGCCCCTTAACGATAGGGATTAGTAGCGATAGGACTTAACGATCCTATGAACATTTTGCATTCTCTCTCTCTCTCTCTCTCTCTCTCTCTTCTTCTCCATAAACAGAGAGTCACCGAAATAAATTGAAATCCGTTGAGACGATTTTGGATTCAAAGCCTTGCCTTCATCTTCATCATCATCATCTTCCTCTTCTTCGTTTAAGCTGGTTTTGTCATCTCTCTCTTAACGAATTTGAATCTCGCAACCATTGCTCTTCTCGCGCATCTGTTGTTTTCGTGCTTCGAGAACTGTATACGTTATTAGTGTGTTAAGCGATTTGGTTTTTAGCATTCGTTTGATTAGTTTATTTGGGAAACAATTAGGTTGTTTTTTGAGTTCCTGGGTAGTCGTCACTGACACAGCGATTGATTTTTTTTTTTTTTTGGTGTAGTAGTCACTTGATTCAGATATTTTGAATTCACATCGAAACCAAATCTTAGATCCTTCTTGAAATTTTTGTTAATTGGGAATAATTGTTTAGTAGTAGTAGTTTCGTTTTTGGGTGAGTGATTTGCTTCTGAGTTTTTTTGGGAAAATTAGAGTTTTAGTTTCTGATTTGGTGATGCTTTTGGGTGCTTTGTATTCTTGGTAAAGAAGAGCGGGAAAAAAACTTGGTAGTTTCCTTTTGTGGACCATTTCAACTATTGAATGTGGTGAGAATCTTTGAAAGTTATCATTATCAAGAAATGGAGAATGGGTTATGGGAGGTTTTAGGTTCAAAAGGGTTATTGAAAAAACATGAATTTGTTAGGATTCTGGTTCAATGCTTATACTCATTAGGATTCAACAAATCTGCTTCTTGTTTGGAACAAGAGTCGAATATCTCGTGTAAATCAGCTGATTTCGGGATTCTCGAAAAGCAAGTTTTGAGTGGGAATTGGGATGGTTGCGTAGCTGTCCTTGACAGGATTTTTGGAGATTCTATGGATCGTGACACGAGGAACACGGCTTTGTATCTAGTGTTGAAGCAATGTTTGATTGAGTATTTGAAACAGGGGGATGTTTCTTTGGCCTTGAATGTGTTACGGAAGCAAGCTCCGATATTAGGGATGTGTAAAGAGAAGATTCACAGGCTTGCTTGTGATATTGTTTATTCGAAAGAGATGGAATCTTGTGAAGCAGATAGCTGTTTGGTTCAGGATTTGAGGAAGAATTTGTTGGTTGAACTTGAGAAGTTGATTCCATTGCCGATTGTTATTCCTGAGAGAAGGTTGGAACATTTGGTTGAGTCTGCTGTACTGGACCAGATTGATACATGTCTGTATCATAACTCATGGGATGCTGTATCACTTTACAAAGATCACTGTTGCGGTAGAGATCAGATTCCTTCAGAAACAGTTCAGGTGCTTGTTTAGATGCCTTATTAACCTAGATGTCTTAATTTTGATACAATAGTTTAAATTTCTTTACGATGATAGAGGGATGGGGTTACAATTTGGTGGTAAGGCCTTTTTTCACTTTTTTGTTTAGTTTCTCAATATGTTATTACCTTGCAGATTTTGATGGCACACAAAAATGAAGTGTGGTTTGTGCAATTCTCTAATAGTGGCAAATATCTGGCCACTGCATCAAGCGATTGTACAGCTATTATATGGCAGGTAAATATTTTTGAACATTGATTCTCTTATTTTCACCTAATGTCATTAATGGAGGATGTAATATTTTGGATGTCTTGGATTGAAGCTTGGTATATAAAAGGTAGAAAGCCATTTTGTAACAACAAAAAAAAGACAGTAACTTTTATAGTGACTTGTCCTTTTGAGCCATGTAACTAGCCCTTGGTACTTCAGGGTTGATAAACATTGTGTGTATTTTTAGTATTCTGTGATCATTTTGAAACTGTGTCTTTAAGGACCAAATTTTTTTACTGGTCTCGTGACAGATTGTTATAATATGGTGTTGGACTAAAACTTTTTGTTTCAGGTACTGGATGACAACAAAGTCGAACTGAAGCACACACTTGAGAGCCACCAAAATCCAGTTTCTTTTGTCTCGTGGAGCCCTGACGATACTAAACTGCTTACATGTGGAAATGCTGAAGTTCTCAAGCTTTGGGATGTTGACACAGGTGTGTTGAGACACACATTTGGAAACAACAATGCCGGATTCACTGTTAGCTCTTGTGCATGGTTCCCTGACTCAACTCGGCTTGTCTGTGGCAGTTCTGACCCAGAAAGAGGGATTGTCATGTGGGATACTGATGGAAACGAGATCAAAGCTTGGAGAGGAACAAGAATTCCAAAGGTTAGTAGTATTGGTGAAATGATCTAATTATAGGTTCCTTGGTTTGTTATTTGAATAATTGAAGAATGAATTTACAATTTCCCAATAGGTAGTGGATTTGGCTGTGACACCGGATGGTGAGAGTATGATCACAGTATTTTCGGATAAAGAAATCCGGATCTTTAATCTGGAGACAAAAGTCGAACGTATAATCTCTGAAGAACAGCCGATTACTTCCCTTTCGATTTCGGGTGATGGTAAGTTCTTTATAGTCAACTTGAGCAGCCAAGAGATACATCTATGGGATCTAGCTGGAGAGTGGAAACAACCATTGAAGTTCTCGGGTCATAGGCAGAGCAAGTACGTGATACGGTCATGTTTTGGTGGGTTAGACAGTTCGTTCATTGCCAGTGGAAGCGAGGATTCACAAGTAAGCAGCCAACACACAAGGAATCCTTTTTTTTTTGGTTGAATTTTCCAGTGTGATTGATCTGATGATGTTCGTTCACAGGTGTACTTATGGAATCTGAAGAAGGCTAAGCCGCTTGAGGTGTTATCAGGTCATTCCATGACTGTGAACTGTGTGAGCTGGAACCCGAGAAATCCTCGGATGCTGGCCTCTGCGAGTGATGACCAGACCATCCGTATATGGGGACCTGGCAAACCGAACAGGCCAGAGAATCGATTAGGTGACCAGCTTAGGTAGATCTGAATTTTATATGACACAACTTCAAGCCTTATATTAGATAGATAGATCTCATTTCATAGTTTCTTTTTGGTTGGTATCAAATTTTTTTATATGTTAGGAGACAAGAAAAGACTCAACCAATGGTTCCAAGAAAAGTCGAGCTGCACTAAGTCGACAGAATCAATTTATTATAGCTACCACACCGCACAATTGTAGTATGACTAGTATCATGCTTCAAGCTTAGATATATTCAACAATACTAATAAAAACTTGATAGGTTTCTAAAGAACACTAATTAACAAAGAAAACAAGAAAAATGGGATTTATATCTGGAAATTGGTGGCAATGTTGGGTTAAGTTACAACAAATGAATACAATGCATGTGATGGGAATTTTAATTATATTAGCTTCATATTGTTGCTGGCTTACTGATTTTATTATGATCATGTTTATGTATGATCATGTGGGTATCTATTTTATATCATTTGTTGGATCCAACTGTGGATCAATCCTACATCATATCTTAATAATTATTGAAAGAAAAATACATTTTGAACATTATCTTAAACTAATCATTCATTTACTAAAATTTTTATTAACATTATGTGTAATTGCAATTCGAAAAGGTAATTTGGATTGAAATCAAAATTGTTTGGTTAAGAAAATAGTAAATCTTTCTCCTTGGATTTTGTTAAAATCTATATCTACTTAAACTAGAAAATGATCCACGTGTTACGTGAGTGTAATAAAATATTATGCGTTAATTATTATTGTGTATGAATTATCAAAATTATAATTTAGAAGTATATGATAGTATTGTCAATGTGTTAATTATTATAATAAAGGTATTTTTACTTTTCAGTCTAGAGGATGAACTGATTTAAAATTTTAAATAGTTATAATTCAACATTTATAATCCTGAAGTATATCCTTAATTTTAAGGTCTAAGATAAATACTTTTAAAATATATAAATTCAATAGGTCACATTAGTCAGTAATAATATTTTAGTAGTAAAACAGCATTAATAAAAGTGACAAAATTTTTAAGATAAGATAAGTGAAAAAGAAATTTAAACAATTCGACATCGTAGTGGTTTAAATATTAAATTACGTAAAATACCTTATTATATATCTATATATAGAATTTAAAATTTATAAAAATATATAAATAAAAAATATTATGTTGCAGCCTTTGTTCATCTTAGCGTAGTTCAAAATATTTATTTTGAAACAATAAATTAAAATTATGTCTTTGTAAAAAATTTCCGTCCGTTTGGCTCATTTGAGTTGATCTTTTAGTATGATATTGACAAAAAAAAATTAAAATTATGTTTAGCGGTATACAGCTTATTAAATCCTAATCATATATATATCGCTAAACATAATGTATATATATATATAGATTCCAAATAAATTGATTTCTTTGCAATCACGGCCACAAAATGGAACCGAAGAGAATGTCATACGAACGCGATTTGTTGTTAGATGCATCTCATTTTCAGTATTTAATTTCTAACCATGCAATGAAAAGTTATGAAACCAAACGTTTCACATTTCAAATCAAACCCAAAGTCTTGTCGTCTACCTTGTAAAACAACAATAAATGCCTCTAAAATTCTCCTTTTAGAGGCAAATTCTCCAAATTGTTCACTTCCCAAATGTCGTAATCCATAAATCAATACTCAAAGAAAGACAATACTTGGCCATAAGCATTGAAATCGAGGCTCTCAATACAAATGCACCACAAGCATATATGACCATAGGTTTTTCAAATTTGGTCCTCCAAAAGAGATTAGTTTGGTTCACTAAAAGCATGACAAGTACATAAACTTGCCTTGCTGTAACATGAAATGAAACAAAGACAGAGAGATATCTAAAAAAAACCCAAAAACTATAAGTCCCCATAGATGATGAACTGTCTAAAGACAAAACCCTTTTAGATGATAAGATTTCTTGTCACTTTGTTTCTGGATTCATATATATGAAAATCATTAGAAGTTTCATATAGACAGAGAGACACATTAAGAGTGAGACACCAAAGTATAACCATGTGGTGTGGGTTGTTTCATTTACAAGAGAACAATCACCAAACCTGCTTTATCTCAAAGTTCAGATCTTTGGTATTCAAATCTAATAACCTCCTCAAAATCTTATCTTCAAACACACACACAAAACTATAAATGTGGTTTGACTTTAGACAGCTAGAGTTTCAACTCAATTGACTAGGATGGTCTAATCTTGATTTAACAAGAACCACAAATAGATGAAAGAGCAAATTCTTGGCTTTAAGAGATAGATGGAGAGGAGAGAGAGAGAGAGACTAAAGAGGTGACATATGCATATGGCAGACCACATGTAATGCTTACCCTACAAAAACTCAATGCTTGAACAAAAGAAAAGAGTTATAATATTCTGCACATGTGTGTACCATACTCAAAACCCCACTTCCTTGAAATAGGGTTACAGAGAAATGAATCTGGACTGTCCACTAAAGATCAAAGAAAGTATCTTTTTGTAATGAAGATGAAAGTGTCCCACAAATGTCCCCAAAATGATGGGACACACTTTGCCTCAAAGTTGCTGCTACTGTTTACTACCCCGACAGCTTTAGCTTTTGCCTTTGTCCTTAAATCAAGTTAATCCCTAAAATTACCAAAAGAAAGTGACTTTCAATTCCTATAAAACACTCTTCTTCACAAAGCCTCTTATCTCATCTCTCTCTCTATAGACAACCACAAGAACATAAAAACACACAAACAACAAAAAAAAAAGTTTCTTTCTTTGAAGATTGAATCCAAAGAAATGGAGAAAGTTGGTGATTATGATGAGCTTGTTAACCTAAAGGCAACAGAGCTGAGATTGGGATTACCAGGGACAGAAGAAGAAACTGTTCCTTGCGGTAAAAGCAACAAAAGAGCATTACCTGATGATACTGAGAAAGAGATTGAATCAACTGGCAAAACTGAAACAGCTTCTCCTCCAAAGTAAGTTTCTTTTGATTTGCAGGGCTCAGATTTTGGAGATGTGTATTGGTTATTGACCTTTTTCAATTGCAGGGCTCAGATTGTTGGATGGCCACCAGTTAGATCTTACAGAAAGAACAGCATCCAGACAAAGAAGAATGAATCTGAAGGTCAAGGAAACTATGTGAAAGTAAGTATGGATGGTGCTCCTTATCTAAGGAAGATAGATCTAACAGTGTATAAGAAGTATCCAGAGTTGATGAAATCACTTGAAAACATGTTCAAATTCTCTGTGGGTGAATATTCCGAGAGAGAAGGATACAAAGGCTCAGACTTTGTACCTACTTATGAAGACAAAGATGGTGATTGGATGCTTGTTGGTGATGTTCCTTGGGAGTAAGTCAAAAAATATCTTCAATTCATCTCTCAATAACTTATGACACAATCTTGATTTCGTACTTATGGTGTTTGATGTTTTCAGGATGTTTGTTTCGTCTTGTAAGAGGCTAAGGATCATGAAAGGATCAGAAGTTAAAGGTTTAGGTTGTGGTGTTTAACAAAAACCTAACTGAGAGACGAACATCAAATAGTTCAAAAACAGAGTTTTCTTTTTGTTGGTTCTGTTTCTTGAAACAGAGGAAACTGCTTGGGTTTTCGACAAACATACCTATGAATTTTTTACCTTATCGGTAAAAAAAAAAACTACTCTTTTTTCTTGTGGTGTTGTTGATTCTGTAACAGATGTAAACAGAGAGATGCTTAAAAATGGTCTTTAAGCATAAGTGTGAGAAAGATCTAAATCTAAACTTTAGCTTGTAACGACTCTGTTCTCAATTAAAAAGGGAAAAGGTTTTGCGGTGTTAGAAAGATCTTGATCTGAAAACATTATGTTTTGTGCTTTTTGTAATGTTGTTCTTACCGAACAAATTTGATGTTTTGATGTAATTACCAATTTCTATGTTCTGGTTTCTCTGCAAAATACAATAAAACAGAACAAGCAAATGGATCTTTAACCTAACTTGCAGATGAACAAACAACAAAGACAACTCATTAAAACCAAACCTGGCAAATAAAGACAGCTTTTAAGCAACTACATTGGATTCTAGAGTCTTTAAATTTAAAGATTATAGTTGTTTAATCACCAAGAGAGAGAGATTAGCGAAATCTAGTGGAGCAGTGAGAATATTTTTGGGGTTTTGTAAAATGTTTATATTATCTTTTTGTTGTTACTAGTTTGAACTTTGGTCCCCCACACCTTCAACAAGTAAATCTACCCAACTGTGCTAATTTGTCTCCACTATCACTTATAACAATCTCATTAAGAAACTTTGGAATCAGAGCCTACTTTGTTTTAATAAAATGGTATAGGTTCATTGAATTGTATTTCTTTCTATAGGAAACTTCCCTTTGTGCTTCAACCATCTTTTTTACATTCAAACCTAATGCTTTTGAAGCAAGGTGATGATTATAATAAGGTCTAGCATAGCATATTCAAAATTTGTATCAAAACCAATAAAATGTGAATTTGTTAAGATAGAATTCTCCAAAAAGGTAAAAGGCCTACGCGTCTGAGTGCTTGTTTGGGATAGTTTCAAACCCTATAGGCATCTCTCGAATTGGCCTATAAGCAAAGCAACGATCCATAATGGTCGGTGAAGAAAATGGCTTCTTAGACCATTAGTTAATAATTACTACTCATTTTCAACTATTCAAGTAAACGTGTTTTGTCCTTTGCACATATATTTTAACTGTGTGTGTGTATATGCATAGTATAGACATGTATGTATGTACTTGTTGTGAAAAGGGGGGGGGGGGGGGGGCTAATCTTCTTTGCTTTCAACTTCGAGAGAGACTTCGTTGCGGCGCGTAAACGGCAGAGTAAATGGTGGATTATACTGCAGGAAAGGAATTCATTAGTGTCAGTCGGTAGAGAGTCTAAAGGCCTAAGGTATGGATGATCACTATGTTAATCCATTTAGCCATTTATGATTGTTGATGAACCTGTGCAACTTCAACTGATACTCCATCTCTCACTCGAAACTTTTTGTCATTTTGAAGAGCCCTCCTTAGTTCTTGTTCCCGTCTCTCAATCTCTTCATTGGTAACATAGCCTGAAAAACAAAGTTGATTTTGTTCATCGATCACAACAAAAAACTGATTGTGTTAGATGCTTCAAGAGGTACCCTATGAAAGACAACCTTGATGAATATATAATGAACATATTATCATGTGTTTACATGTCAAGCTTATGTATATAACACATTAGAATAGTCATTATTACTATAGATAATTCATTATCTTGTTTGCAATCATGAGAAAACAGGCAAATAAGACTGGAACTAGTTTGGGATTTTCTGGTCTATATCTTTGATTATTCAAACTGGAGTATTAGTATCATCAGACCTACGTGGAAGTGAAATCGAGTATCTTTACCTGAGAAGGCGACAACAGCAACAATCTTTCGTGGCACCTCCTGAATTTTGACTGAAGGATCTTTTGGCAATGGCAAATTCGAACCATACTTAGAGGGCATGACAAAAGACATCCGCCACTGGTTTTGATCTTTTGCCTGAAGCAATAGTACACATGCAAATAAAATAAGATACTAACTGACTAGGAGTACGACCGAGAACAAGATAAAAGATGAACCATAAATAACTTCATAAAACAAGTTTTTGTGAGAAACTAACAGGTATGTTGGTTCCTAGCACTTACGTAACAGGAAAATAATACTCTACTACTGATCTAGACTCTAGAGTGTGATGACCTCAATAAACATTCATCTAGATATGGTAATAAACATAAGAAACCAAAGCTACTCCAAAGTATTATATCTATGTTAAAGCAAACTAAGAACTTCCAAAAAGAGAAGCTTCATGATCCATCGATAAGATATAATAATACCTTGCTAGTTATCAAGGGAGTTGTCATTTCCATCTTTTCTCCAACAGACTCGACTTTACGAGTAACAACAGGGGTTGTCATTTCCATCTTCTCTTTTATTGTGTTCTATTGAAAACAACACACAAGTATCAAAATTTGAAAGTAAAACAACATTGAAAAGGTGCAGCAAAAAGTTCACAAGGAAAGGAATGATTCAGAATAAGTACCTTACCAAAGAGGTACTCAGCTAACACATTGAAAGACTTAGAAGCACCATAGACATCAAATCCAGTTTCCCCTGGCATTGTAGTCTCGGCCACAAAATAAGGCTGTTTCAAAATTCATAACATCAAACTAAGACCCCCCAATTAAACAAAGAGGGAGAGTGAAACCAACACTAAGAACAACCTCAACTTCTCTAATCTCGTACTTGTCTGTCCTACTTAGAACTCTGAAGTTCATCGTCTCCAGATCCGGAACTAGAGAAAAATTCAAGCTTTAGCAAATAAATTGTGAGCACTGAGCACAAAGCTAACATTTTTAAGCTACAAACTAACCAGACATTAAAGCTTCTTCAAGATTAGAGCTATTGAATCTCTTGGGAAACACGTATTTCGCAGTCTCCACAGCCAAATCAGCCAAAACTAGAATCAAATTTTGACAATGAGAAAGTTCAGATTACAGCAAAATAGAAATCAAGTTAAGAAGACTACAAAAAGATGGAAACTTTTACGGCGTTGAGATACAGAGGAAGCCTGAGAGACGAGAGCAAAGACGAGAGAAACCCTAGATTCAGTGGCGGACACGGCGGCTTGACTCTGCCGCTGCCTCGCCGTTCTGACGCCGGAGCTAACAATTGAGCATCTCCGGTTACGTTTTCGATACGAATTGAGATCGATTGAGAATTTCTTGTGAGACGAAGAGACAAGCGAAATGGATGATGATGCAATTGCAATGGAGGAGCTGATCATCATCTTCTTTGTCTCTCTTCTTCGCAATCAAACTCTTTACTGTTTTTATTTTATTCCCAAACATTTATTTATTTATATGAACGATTTTTTCCAGAAAAACGATGCCGTTTTAATGGACGGTTTACTTTTCATACCGGTAGGTTTCTTGCTACGAACCAATCGGTTCATGATTATAAGCTAAGCATTGTTCATTAATTATTGATTGGTTATTTTAACTATAATAATTTCAGTTACCAACTTATGCCTCTATCAAATCACACGATACAAGCACTCTCATTTATAAATGGTCATAGTAGATTTATAGTGAAAACTTTGTACATGGGATTTTAATTTCTTAATTTTTGTATATATTGCCGATATTAATCTATTTTTTTCAACATTTTTTTTTCATTGCATGGTAAATGACTTACACCATTGTTTTTTTCTGAACATGTAAAAAATATGTTTAGTGTGCAACATATTACATAGAGATTTTAGTTTATGGTCTAAATATTGGTTGTTGAAACATTATATATTATTTAGAGAAATTCCTCTAAATGATGCTATCTAATCTTTTCACATATTTTAATAGGTCTCCCAATAAATAATAATATTTATTATTTATTGGGAGACCTATTAAAATATGTGAAAAGATTAGTTAAATTATCAAAATAACTAGATTTTCTATGAATAAATTTATCCTTAATGGTACATCAAATTATCCTTAAGAAAATCACAAAATCATCTTTATCGATTGGCGATGAAAAAAATACAATTGCTAGTCAAAGTTGGTACAATAGTGTAATACTTAAAACAATCATAAAATGATTATTCTTATAAATATTGTTTAGTTATTTCCTAAGGCTAGACTAACATATATCTTTCCATGCATATAGTAAGCTTCCATACCAAAAAAATTTCATGTACGTCCAAGTTGTTTCCCCCACTATTGTTATTTCAAATCCAAACAAGATATTATTATCTTATATGTGTTGAATCGTCTATCCATCTTTCAAAAAAAAAAAGTACGTGAAAGTGTTAGAAGGACCAAAACACACTTTCTATGATTTAAATGAATTAGGAAAGAAATAGATTCATCACACATGATATATGGATGCAACCATTGAACTTATTTGTCAAATGACACATACTTATTATTTAAAATCATGATATATATCTTTTAATTATAACATATGAAAATCGTTAATTAATAATATATAAGAGTAATATTTTTGTTTTTTTTGTTTTTAAATCTATTTATATTACTAAAGAAACAGATTCATCACACGTAAAATATAAATGAATAGTAATAATATATCTTAGTTAAAGAAGACGCTCTCAAATCTTCAAAGATCACCATATACATCAAAACATTAAAAGTCAATAAATAATGAAATATATCGAAGTAATTTTTTTTTTTTTTTACCATTTAATTTATAGTGTCTACCATATATACATATACTAGGCACTATTGAAATTTGAAGTGGATTACACTACCCAAAAATATAATCTTTGCATAAGCTTATGGTAAAGCCTCTTTAATTGTCACACAAATTTTAAAAGCATTATTATAAATGTACTAGATTAGTAGATTCCATCAAAGAAGCTATTTTTGGGGGTTTCTTATTTTCAGTTTAGTCTCTGAAATTTTTTTTCTGTTTTTTTTTTCTTTCCTAGCCACTAATTATTACAAAACACGAATTGAATTTAATTTATTTTTGTTGGGTTTTGTACTCATCTATCATCTTTATATGTTTGGTTCTCCTTGCTCAAGCTTCCCCCAAATCAGCAATGGAAGCTAGACTCTCCGAGACTCTTGGTCTCCCATCTCCGAGTCGTAATCACTGCCTTGTTCCAAACGATTTCAATTCCCTCTTCACTCATTTCTCCGATCTAACCTCCGTCCAAAGCCCTATCGTCAGAAACCCTAAACCCAAAACCAAAACCAAAACCTCTCAGAAACTTACAGCAAAGTTGGGAAGATCTAACCCATGTTTTGCATCTACATCAGTCTCGGATCCAATCCACACCAAACCCGGATCCGAATTCCTGAAATGGATCAAACCCGCATCACGAAACAGTCCAAGAATTCAAACACTCATGAAACAACTCTCTGTTTGGGAACGTGCCATCATCGGTGCAGGAGCCGGTGGACTTGCCGGAGCTTTTACATACGTTGCTCTTCTCCCACTTGATACAATCAAAACCAAGCTTCAAACCAAAGGCGCGTCTCAGGTTTATAGCAACGCGTTTGATGCTATAGTTAAAACATTTCAAGCAAAAGGTGTGTTAGGTTTTTACAGTGGTGTCTCCGCCGTGATTGTTGGGTCTACGTTTTCCTCCGCTGTGTATTTCGGTACCTGTGAGTTTGGTAAGTCTCTACTCTCCAAATTCCCGGATTTTCCGACTGTGCTTATCCCGCCTACTGCTGGTGCTATGGGAAACATAATCTCGTCTGCTATAATGGTTCCTAAAGAGCTCATTACACAGAGAATGCAAGCTGGAGCTAGTGGGAGATCGTATCAAGTATTGCTTAAGATTCTTGAGAAAGATGGAATCTTGGGGCTTTATGCGGGTTATTCGGCTACATTGTTGAGGAATTTGCCGGCTGGTGTACTTAGTTATTCGTCGTTTGAGTACTTGAAAGCTGCGGTTTTGGAGAAGACGCAGCAGAGTCAGCTTGAGCCTTTGCAGAGTGTTTGTTGTGGTGCGTTGGCTGGTGCGATATCTGCTTCGATAACTACACCGTTAGATGTTGTGAAGACTAGGCTGATGACGCAGATTCATGTGGAGACAGTGAATGAAATGTATTCTGGTGTAGCTGGGACAGTGAGTCAGATACTAAAAGAGGAAGGTTGGGTTGGTTTTACTCGTGGCATGGGACCTCGAGTTCTTCACAGCGCTTGTTTCTCAGCCATCGGTTATTTTGCATTTGAGACTGCCAGGCTTACAATCTTGAATGAATATTTGAAGAGGAAAGAAGATTCTGAAACTAAACTTGATGCTGATTCTTGAGTTTGGTTGTGCTATTGTCCATGGTTCTCAAAGAAGCATTACTCTTTTAACATTGTTGGGTTGTTTCAGGGACAAGCTGAGTTGTTTCAAAAAATATATTCACTTTTGCTGCATTTTCATGCTGGCTTTATCTAGTTTGTTTTCAATCTGATTCGATTTCTTTCAGATTCTGTCTTGATAGACTGCCATGCTTTCCTTCAATCTCATGTCATTTTTGGCTGTAGAGAATTTCTTGTGAGACGAAGAGAAAAGAGAAAGGGATGATGATGCAATTGCAACGGAGGAGCTGATCATCATCTTCGTCTCTTCGCAATCAAAATCTTTTCGGAGTTTCGTTCACTGTTTCTATTTTATTCCCAGAAAGAAAATACTAACAAAAAATGGAGAATGATGTTGATGATGATTATCCAATATTAACAAAAAGAAAGCTTACATCTCCCACATACCTGTGGATCTGTAACGCACAGACTTCTTTCGGAGCATGAACATAGTTTATGGATTCGCTGCAACACTCAGTCACTACGGATGAGATAGAAAAATTGAATCTATATATTCCTAAACAAAGTATTTGTAAAAATATATGGGAGAAAGCTAAGAAGAGTATAGTCTTCGATCATCAGTTTCTGACTCTAACAAGGTTAGCTCTTGACTGTTTTGGTCATTGCTACTACCACCAGAGATGGTCATAATTGGTTCAGACTGAGAACTAAATCCTTCTTCATCAACCTGTTGTTTCTTCTCCACTGTATCTGAGATCAACACAATCGAACTGCTTGTAGTTTCCGGTTTAGGTTGATTGACATCTTCACGATCTGTCTTCTCCGGTTGAACATAAGACAAACCGTATTTCTGAGCATGTGTTAGACCTGGGCATAAACCCTACAGAACCCAAACCAGAAGAAGGTTTCATAAGCTACCCTAAGAAAGAGATGAAGATACTGTACAGTCTTTTTTTTTACACTGACCTTAATCAAACCAGTAACTGGAAAAGATTCATGGTAAGGATATATGTTACTGCGCTCATTGTGGTTACTCTCTTCTTCAAGGACTTCTTGTTCTGGTTTTGTGAAGTTGCTTAAACAATATCCACCAAGGTACGAACAATGTTCTCGAGCTAGAGATATTTGTGGTGTTAGTGGTAATAGATGACCTTCAGTGCTAAAGATGTACCTGAAGATTGAGTAAATCAACAAGATTAGAGAACTGTTGCAGCAATTGTGAAGATCAAGAGGCTAATGTGGTGGAGATATTTGTACTTGTAAGGGCCATTGTCTACGAGGTTATCTGAATCAACAGCTAAGTCAAAGAGTAGCCATAAGTACTTTACCTGAAATATTTGTGAAATGCAAAAACAAGTCAAGGTTTTAAGGTAAGCAAGTTAATGCATGTTGAGAAGCAGAGGTTTTTAATTATTTTACAGTTTCTGCGAGGAAGAAGCTCTCCATGTGATCTTCTTGTTTATGAAGTTCAACATCAGTGATGTGACAATAACCGCAAGGACATTTTGCCCCATATTGCAAACTAGCAACAAAGTCACGTCCTGCATCAAGATACCTGTCGACGAGCGATTTGTATTTCACTCAGTAGTGTAATCATCTTTGGTAAAGGAACTGAAAAAAGCTAACTAAGTAAATTGGTCACCTGGGATCTTTGGTAGCTTTGTACAACCAATATGTGCTCTCAATTAATTCTGGCCTTAGTGGATAACTCTTTTGCCCATACTGCAAGATATATGAAGAATATCAATGAGGTTGTAACATCATAGTACCACCAGACGATGAAACTTAATAATGTGATCACCAAGACATTTAAATTAAGATGGAGTACCTGGACACTAAGTGTAGCAAGATTAAAACCCTCAGGGGTGAAACCATATCTTTTCCAGACGCTAAAGAATGCAGTGTGAGTCCTAATCGCCGGATCAACATCTCCAGCTAAAACCTTTTGTGAGAGAATAGAAAACATCATAGTTTAATTTTCCAGCCTAAACATATTAAAAATTGTTCAAACATACAATCACTGTTTACCTGAAGCCCTGGCCAGAAAGCTTGAAGGCTATTGAATACTGGCCAAACAATAGCAGCAGAATCCATATTGACTTCTACATACCTATGACAAAACTAGAAGAAACAATAAGTCCAAACAAAGGAATTGCTTGTTCATGTTTCTAATAAACAAAAGATTCAGAAAGCTTACCAGGGATCCTTGTGAAGGTACTGCATTGCAGATCTGTAAGCTTCTTGAAAAATGTATAAATATTCCTCATCCCCAAATAGTATATAAGCCTGAAATTGTTTAGTGTTAACTCAAATAACTAAATAGAAAGCTCGGAAAACTTCAGTGCCACTCAAATTTTATGCAAGGTTGAAGAGCGAAACTGAATATATCAGCTTCTGACTTTCTAAAACTTGGCATTGTGTCACTTACTAACCTTGAGGAGATACTCATAGAAGGAGTCAATGCTTGTTCCTATACCAGCATCCTGCCAAGTAGACAGTACCATTCAGAGTTTGGGTGACACAAAAATTGACCAATTATCTTTTCAAAGCAAAGTTCCAAAAATGAATAAGAGCCTTATAATTTGTTAACTGAAGTATGCCAAAAGTCGTAGTTTTATGACATATAAAGAATCCTTTTTTTTGTCAATTTATGGACGAAAATAGGTGTTACCTTCTGTGTCCATTCACCTGTAAAGACATTGATGTGAGCACCAACCAAGTCGAGATTTGAACGACGTGCCCATAGTCCCCTCACCGCATTTTTCGCAACTTGTTCGAAAACTTCAATTTAACAAAGTTGGACCACCATGTAAGAGAACGTAAAAAACAGAAAAAAATCGACATTACATATCTTGGAATCGAAATGATATGATGGGAGAATAAAGAGAGCTAAAGAGCAGTATTGGTAGTGATTAAACTGATTTATGATTAGATAAGAAATGCCAAAGCTCATAGCTTCACTCACCAGGATCATTTGTTAAACGACTTAGCACGCCAAACTCTAAAGACAGAGTACCACCACCAGCTGTTGATGTTATCTGAGCAACCAAAAACCAAAGATGCAATTTTCTAAATAGATGAGTCCAATATATGGATTAAAAGATAAGATAGGCAAACTGAAGACCAGTCTGAAGGAATAAGAAGATGTTTACCTTGCTTTCATGTTTGTCAACACCGTACATCAAATTCACAGATCCAAATGGGATTCCTATAGAAAGAAAAGAAGAAGGATATGACAGGCAATCCCCCGTTTTCGCTTATCATATTCATATGCATGCCGGCTTATCAATGAGAGATAACAAGAAGACCATACCAGTCGGTGTATCGAAAGCAGGAAGCATTCTCCGTGTCAAATCCTCAGCCAAGACCAGTAACTCATTGTCATAAGATGGAATTCTCATGCCCTATCATCAGATTAAACTCTATTCAAGTTTACATGGCAAACAGCAAAAACTACTTAAGGATATATTAAGTACTTGGTAGTCCAATAGAAAGGTTAAAAAAAGCAGGAAACATAAGATTAGTTTCAGATAAAGCCTAGCTACTTTATGCTCAAATGGCCGTATACTTAGTTGCAAAAGTTATACATTTGCTTTCTACCTGAAGAATGTAAAAATACCCTAGTGTAAGATGACATCACGGCAAAGATTTAGCTAAACAGAAGAAAAGTACCGTTGCATAATCACTTGCAATCAGATGAGCAGAAAGTAAACCCCCAAGGACTCGGATAGTTGTCTCAAACACAGAGACAGTTTTGTTCTACAGTTAAAAAAGACATGTATCAGTGCATCAACTTCACTGCCATGTTACGGTTTACCAAAGGAACACTAGAGAAAATAACAATTAAAAACTTGGTCTTGCTAGAGAAGCCAAAACCAATCATTACTCACTATATTAAACTGAAGATTTTTACCAATCCATTCAACAGAAGAAGTGAAGCGCTCTCGGTCTCCAAGTAATGCTAATGTATCCAATGAGTCAATCTACACAAATGCCACCAAAATCATATCAAGGTTCTACTTCTACATAACACAGAGCCTTAAACAAGCCAAGTTCATATATTAAAGTAGTTTACCAAGGTCAACGCATAGCCTCCAAGAGTATCTTCTCCTTGGCAAGATAATGGTCTCAATTCATCGAGAGGAAAAGCATTGTTCATATATCCATCAAAAGCATGATAAAACATCCCACGTACCTATACTCAATGTTAAAACTAGAGCAATTAAATTAAGTAACTATGAAACAACAAGGAGCTAAAACACCACCAAACCAAGTGGTACTCAGCTAATTAATAAGCAAAACTACTAAATGTTCTTCTCAAATAGGCTAAAGAACTTAACTTTACCACATAATCAACATCAATGAGTAACTATAACATCCAAAGGTCAAGACTTTACGGGACCCAGAAAACTAAAATTGCTCTAATACTCAATTTGGAGAGGACAGAACTGATAAACCAATCGATGACCAAAAGTATAAACAGAATCAGATCTGTCGAGGAGTATTTACCTCGTCTCTAAGCTGTTTAGCTTCTTCAGGCTTAACACTCTCGGCGAGGACTCCATGGTGAAGAACAAGACTCGAGAATGTCAGAGAGATCAAGATGGAAATCAAAAGCCACCTGTAATTTGATTCCATCAAAGAAGCTATTTTGTGGGGGTTTCTTATTTTCAGTTTAGTCTCTGAGTTGAATGAATCTTCTTCTCAGACATCATCACTGGATCTCTTTTGTCCGAGGTGATTCTTGAGTTTTTCAACTGCGTCACTCGGTGGCTCTCTTGTCCTTCAAACACGATTCAGGAGCGATAAAATTTTATTTCTGTTTTTTTTTCTTTCCTAGCCATTAATTATTGGAAAACACAAATTGAATTTAATTTTTTTTGTTGGGTTTTCTTTATATGTTAAGAACGAATTGATTTATTTCCTAACTAGATTTTAGATTATGATCAGTGCAATGTATCAGATATATATTCAATTATCATAAAAAAAATTTAATGTTATCGAGTTGCAGCAAATGTCTAGTTTACTGATTCCAACGAGGATCTATCTCTATGGTCAATTACTCAATTGACTCAATTCTATAAGTAAAACTCAAGAAAGATTCAAAAGTGAGTTCACAGCAGAAGTTTTAGGGTATCATCTCAAATGCCAAAAGCAACATACACATATTTCTGAGTGAATTCAATTACCACATCCAAAAGTGTATATATATATATATATATATAAATAGATCCCAACGGCGAGACCATTGCAGCAAGTGACAGAACTGATAAGAGTTTCTAGTGTGTGTTTGGAGAAGCTGAAGAACCCGATCACTGCAAGAACAGCAGGAAACATTATGGTTACAACTTGCAAGATCTTTCATGAGATGTTATTCAAAGATTTCTTTCCAACAATCTAACTCGTCGGTAAGTAAACTGACCTGTTGCTTCTTCTTCTTAGGCCGTCTCTTCCTTTTGGGTTTGTGAGCATCAGAATTGGAGCTCAAGTTGCTACTCTGACTGCTGTATGCATTTGCCGTAGCAGTCCTGGTTGTATTATATGAAGACTCACTTCTTCTGTTCGAAGTGTTTCTCGAGGATGATGGCATCTCATTCCTCTGTACATATGAATTCTTCCTATAATTTGATTCAAACCTTGCTTGTGGTGGCGGCATTAAAGCCCTAGCAGAGTTCTGCTTCTATAAGGATTTCAAAACATTCAAACATGTAAACATTTAAACCATGTCATTGTTAACAAGTGGCATATAAACATTCATCATACCTGATTACGTTCATCACTTGACATGCCAGAAGTAGCTCTACCAGAAGCACTAGACGCAGCCTCCCTAAAAAAATATAGTCAGATGTTCTCTTGGTCAGTAAGGTTCAATTAAAAGTATTGACGTCTAAAAGATAGTAATCAACATTAACTAGGCCTACTTTGCACTTTTATCGGTCAATTCATCATCTGCATCTGCTTCATCGCTTGAACTCCCTTTATCAAAGAAATCATCATCACTAAGGTCCAGAAGACCATCATCTTCACTGCCCGTTTCTGTTATCCACAATCATATAACAAAAATCATCACTTATTAGCTACATTACTTAATAGTTCCAGAGAAAAAATTGTAAGCAAATAAGCATCTCCACATATTCTGTGTTTACCTTCTAACTCTTTCCCACTAGCAGCAGCAACAATGATATTGGCTTTGACCTGCTTCCTCAGTTTACCTCTTTTCTCAACTACTTCTGGATCCTCACCTCCAGTAAAAAGAGATACATACTTCTCATTTTTGGGGAAGAACTGCAATTATACATGTTAAGAAAACAGACATTTTCATTCAACTAACCTCATTCTAAATTATAACTACAGAACTTTAACTAACAAGTCAAATGATGAGAAATAGTAAAAGGAGAAGGCAGTGTAATGACGTTTAACTTACCCTAACATATTCAAGGTCTTCTTTGAGTTTAGTAAGTTGCTCAGCTATATCTGTGTCTCCCACATGGGCAGATGAAGTCCGTTGTAGCTTCTCAAGGCGTCTAATGCTTCTTTCAATCTTTCTCCGCTCTATCCAAGAACAATAAAAGCTTTAATCTTTCAATAACATTACGAACTACAAATACTAGAACCGTATGGTAAAAAGCTCTTACCAAAGAACTTAATCTTCCTGTTCCTGAGGAATACTTTACGCTCAACAGCGAGACGGGCATGAGCGTCTTGCTGCTTCTTCAAATCTTCCAACTTCTCTACTAGAGACTCTTTTACTTCAGGTGGCAAATCCTACAAAGTATCATCAATTCATCCATCAACATTCCAACTTCTCAAAAGGGTTGCGTATTAATGACTGCCCATATGATCAAATTCTCCAAAGGAACACAACTCAGACACATATCATTATAACCCTTAAAGCTCTACATACAACAAACACAACTGAATCCTAGAAAGGATGGAAATTTAAGAGAGATTCGAAGATAAAACCCTAATTTCAGAGAGAAAAGGAGCTAACTTTACGAAGAAAGCGTTCAACGGAACGCATCTGATTCTTGATGGAGACATTCTTAGGTTTCTTCTCTACACGCAATACTTTCGACCTTCGACTGCTGCTTCCTGCTGACTGCTTCGGTTCTGAAACCCTTCTCTTGTTAAAACCTCCGTGCGCCATGGCCGGAGGATGTTTATCAACTGAAGCTTTTGAAAGAACTTGAAGAAGGAGAGAAGAGTAGAGAGGAACAGACAAAAAAAATTAGGGGTTGTGTGTTTTTTTCTTTGTTCAGCCGGCGTTGGCTTGTTTTAGCTTCTTCTTCAATCGGACTTCGAAACGCTGCGTATTAGGGATTAGGTTGAACCGGATTATTTCCCGGTTAAACCGGTTGGTCGGATTATGATCGTAAGATCGTTGATTAACAAATGCTATAAAGTTTTTTTTTTTATAACATACATATTTCACGTCAAATAATCATAAAGCATAACTAGAAATAAAATTAAATTCCAATGGAACTTTTTTTTTTAAACCATTCCAATGGAAACTAATAAGTAATACTCAATCCGACCAAAAACAAACTAATACTCAAAAACAAACCAAATCCGTCGACCAAGAAAAAAAAAAGAGACAAACCAAATCCAAAAATAAGAAAATATTTGAATAGGTTTTCAAACTTTTAATACCCAAAAAACTGAAACCAAAATTGAATTCAAACCAAACTGAAAACTGAATAGGTACCCGTAATACTAAACTTCTAATTATATACCTAAAATAATAATTATAAACTAAAATATATTATTTATATACCACTATCTTATTATTGATATAACTCAATTTTATAATATTGTAATTATAAACTCGGTGGAACCTCCCTTAATCCAGTGGTTGACGAAGGGTTATTTAAAGCTTCCACACTTAGTAGAATCGTCATTGTTACAATTCTCATAATTTGCAATAAATAATAAATCAAAAGTTAAAAAAAAATTATAAACTCGAATATATTAGTTATTTTACATTGATAAACAAAATTTCAGAAATTTTTTAGTTATATTTGTTAAATCTAACAATTTTTAATATATCAAATTTAAGATAGCCATTCAAAAAATTAATTTTAAATAAAACGGATACTACTCAAACTCGAAACAAATACTCGAATGCAGAAGCCTCGAAATCTTATTATAAAGTTTTTGGCAATACTATTTTCTGTATAAAATGATAATCTAGTTCTCTTTCTTAATACTCATCTCCAAGACTCTTTAATATTTACCAAACATCACTTTGTTGATCGCAAACTCTCTTTGCATAACACGATTGCTAGAAACAAAAGATGAGCTAACGATGCTCTATATATAATGTGTTTATTCAATATACTTTTTTTCTTAATAAATTCTACATTTAAAACAAATAAAAAGAAATCACTATTGTTTGGAAAAAAAAAATAAACTTGGAGACATACAAAGGCAATAAAAGAGAAGAAGAAAAAAAAACAAGCTAAAATTATTACAAAGACTGAAGAAGCTTATTTGGTGTCGAAGAAACAAATAAGACCAATGCAAATGAAAAGGCTTCTTTGGTTTCTTTGTATTATATATCAACGACTTATTTGATGCTTGCATTTACGAGTCAGTCTCCTTGCTCCAATGTCGCTTAGTGTGTAACAAAATGTGGTATATGAGAGAATGTATACAATTTTCATAGTGTGATGGGTTGGTCTCCTTCAAGCTCTGATATAACAATCAACGAGTCATCCATTTCGAGAGCGAGAGGTTCATTCTTTGGAAGCGGATTGATTATCTGCAACCACAAGAGGTTCCAAGTTAGTGAAGAGGAGAAGGTTAATGTATGTTGCAGAGTAACAAAAACCCTCACCTTTTTACCGCCTTTTATGTAGCCTATAGCGACTTCTCTCCTTAGCCAAGCTCGCTCTGAGAGCTCGGTGAATGAAGGGTTCTCGCCCTTTTTCATGTACAGCTCAATGTCCTGCAAAACTCAAGATTTTTAGACCACATTTATTGTGAATTTTGTAAAAGTTACTGGCAAAAAGGTTTGAAGGAAGAGACTGTATTTCTTTTTTAACCTTTACGTATATCTCATCACCATCTGCGTTTAGAATGTCCTTCCACACCTCGTTCAATTCGCTGTTTTCAGCAACTGGTTATATAGAAAAGGGTATTACTATTGTTTGGATTATATATAGGCAGGTAAACAAGAAACAAAAATTGGATAGTTGAAATGTAACCTTGTGCTGTTACAAGGCTCATGACTTCCTCTGCTGCTATGAAAGTTAGGGATGGCTTCAGCTCTGTTATCTGTATGGTTTAATGTTTCAGCAGCTTAACCATTATGGAAGCTAAAAAAACCTTTAAATAAAAACTAAAAAGAAAAGCCTTTCAATACCTGCTTGCCGAGATTTGAGTCGACGATTTCAGAGGCTAGATTATGTACCTAAAGAAACAATAGAATTAAACGAATTTTAGCTATTCAATGTGGTTTTTGGATTCAATAAAAAATTAGTAAATCACCTTTACTCCAAGCTTTTTGCAGATGCTTTCAGCAAGGAGAAGAGAATAAGCAGATTGTTTGTCTGCTCTAGATGGATCTAATAGACATTTCCAACTTATTTGTTAGTGTGGTCATTATTACAAAAGAAGAAATCAAGAAGAAAATCGCAAATGCTTACCTCCAAGAAGCCAGTCTCGATCCGATATTACAAGAATGGTCAGAGGAATATTTTTGCTTTTCTTATATTTACTTTGCATACGCATTATAGTTTGCTTTAATGTATCATAATTCAGAGGATTCCCAACCTGAAAAAGATTGAAAAACATTAATACACAATGACTTTGAAGCTCTTCTTGTTCATGCCACTGAAAATGAAATTTACCTTATGTGAAACTTGGATGTTCTTGATTTTCGTTGAACCCATACTATCATCCATTCTTCTTCTGTCCTCTAATGGGACATCCGATAATATTTCCTGTGTACAGAGAATTATTAGTAACTTATTATGTGAGAGCCAACCAGAGAAAGATAATGGTATATTATCATACCAATGAACTGCCAGGACCAAGATAGTTATCAAACTCCTCGATCATATGCACAACATCTCCACGCCAACCAAGTAAAAGTATAGATTCTTTGGGTCCTTTGATGGAATCTGATCCCTGTGTAAATCATAGAACAGAAAGTTAGAACTCTCAAAAAATTAAAAGTCTAATATTATAGTTAAAGCATTGTAGGGGGTAGTTGGGAGTCAGACCTTTGATAAGGACTTACGAGGACGCATTATTATCTTTGCTAGCCGTGATCTTTTTTTCTCGAAAACTTGCTTCCGAGTATCAGTCGCTACTGTAATGTTCTCTAGTTTCATGTCTGTATATAAAAGTTGCTTCTTTTTCCAATTGAGAGGTGCGATAAACAATAGTTTGTCAGTTTCCATGAGCTCATCGTTATCATTTGGGTGGAAATTTACTTTCCCGTCCCGTAAAAGGCCACACACCACAACCTGAAAGGGACACATGTAGAGAATGAAATTAGTAACAAAGATCAACAGGTACTGAGTCAAAGAACGAAAAAACATTCCCCCAAGAGTCAATCCTACCTCCTGGAATCCCAGTCTTAACTGTCTATACTTCGTCCCAACTAAATTGGGGAAGCTGCAAAGATTAAATACATTTTCTGCAACGAGTAACCTTTGTATTAGTCTTGAATACAAACATAATAAAAACATGAAACAAAAATTCTAAACAAATAACAGTCATGTAAGATGAAAGCACACTGTACTTGAGTAATTTAGTAGGTGCCTGTAGATCTTTATCAGGTCCTTTTGACGTGAGCATTGGACAAACAATTTGGACGTAACATTTTCAACCGGCTCCACTTTCAATCCCGAAATAGACTTTAGAAGATCATACGTATTAGGGCTTGATACCTGCATTCATTTCCAGAAGCAAGAAAGGAAAAAGATAAGCATTATAAACAGAATACCGTTACTGCACAATCTTTCGTTACCTAATTTACCTCTACAATGGTTGGGATCGATTCCATCTTTTGTATAGGTTGCAGGGCTAATACAGAAAGAAATGCGTCTGTATCAACTTCATACCTGAAACAATGTTTAACTTCGTGTATCAATATTCCATATTTTTTACCACTACCATTCCATATTTCTGACAGGTTTCAGAACAGCTTTTTTTATTTTGTACTCACAGAGAACCAAAATGCATCATGAAACACAGTACAAACCAAACAAACTACGTGTAATGAAAAATTATCAAGGAGTTAGTATAAGAGAACTCCTAACTCTCTACCCCAAAGTCCCCAAACCACCCAAAAACTCTATAGACATAACTCTCTTAATATACATATTTATATGTACTTTAGTATGGGTAAGCTAACATGAAAGATTTGTGACTGTAATAACATTTACTACTCAAATACCTATCCAGAACTTCTCAGTTTCCATAATCATCTTTCTCAAAGCTGATACACATATACCAAAGAGTTGAATTTTTCTTACCTATCACCTTTCGTTGGTAGTATGATAATAGCACGAGCCATAGAGGCGGCAGCCCTCTCAAATGATTTCGTCAAGTTAAGACTACAACTGCACTGGTAGAAGCATGAAATCAGCACTGTAAATGTATGCAAGCCAAAAAAAGCATTAATTAATATGGCATGAACCTAAGCAGCATTTCAGTTTCACTTCTGCTCAATAAGAAGTGTGCAACCACTTTACCTTTTTGTAAGGATGTCAATATGATTAAAATCTTTGGAGTACGCTTCAGCTAGCTTGTCCATCTGCTTCCTTGGAGTATCAGACATGAGCAGAAGTCTCTGCTTCCTGGAAGCATGTAACAAAAAAAAAAAAGTAATTATCCAAGTCAAAATAAGTGGAGAACTAAATCGTAAGATATATAGAGAGACCAAAATACCTAGTTGTGGCAGTACCTAAGCGGACAGCATGCTCATGATAACTGTTCAGTTGCTTTAGTATGAAAGGTAGATGACTGTTTATTCCACAAATGATGATATGATCAGCTTCTAGGACTTGCATCTGTGCCCCTTCCCTCAGTTTCGTCATATTATACTGCCCAGACAAAGGATTAAGAACTTCTACCAATTAACATTCATTTCGCACCAGTAGTGTTTATCCCAAGAACTTACCCGAAATTGTTCTGTCATTGTGCTTAAAAGCCGAGAGTAAAACAATATTCCCCAAATGGCTAGTACAAATCCAATGACTCTTTCAGTGCGTGTCTTTTGCTGCAG